TGAAACAAGGAAAAGTGATGTTTGGTTTAGATTTTGGAAGAATAGGTTACTATTCTACTTTATAGAATAGTAGTCTACTTTATAATTCACTAACCAGGGGGAAAATAAGTATACTAAATAGTTTTGCATGTTAATGAAAAAAAAAAAAAAAAAAAAAAAAAAAGAAAAAAAAAAAAAAAAAAAAAAAAAAAAAAAAAAAAAAGCCAAACACAAAACCCAAATGGCAACAAAATAAAAACCCAAAACAAACAAACAAACAAACAAAACAAAACAAAAAACCCCAACAAAACAATTAAAAAACAAGCAGCCAAAAAAAATTCATTTCACCTTAATATAGTGATAGCCTTTCAGAGGAAAAAGTTAAGAAATACATAGAGAGTCAAGTTAAAAAGACATACTGGGAACAAACCCCAGGGATTTCTTCAGGCTTCAAATCAAGCTGTCATTAAACCACAGATAAATCATGACACCATGCCAAGTCAGTGTTTCCACTGGAGCAGGTTAAATCCTTAGATCAGGTTAGAGTTTTCTAAAAATACTTTTTATAAAGGTGAAACATAATTTTCTTACAGTAACTTGTTTTGAATAAGCAACTTCTCAAATACTTCATTGTAAAAGCACTTGAATCTTAAGAATGTAAATGGCTTTTTWAAACAACTTAGAAACATGACCATGTCTGGTCAAAAACAATTAAATTTCAACAATTACTGAATAGTTCTAAATGTAGTATTAATGAAATAAAAATAAACATTAAATATTTTCTGAAATATTGTGGTTAAGTGTAGTGTAGGTTGATTTATTTATTTTTGTTTAAGATCCTGTATTCCTACTACAGGGTGATATGCATAGGTCAGTAACAGTAAGAATTAGCTAATATTATTCTGTACACATTTTATTTTATGGCAGTTGATACTTTTCTTAGGAAGCATACCAGTTAAAGCTGAAGTCTGTTACTGCTTCTGAGAAACACACAGTTAAGTCTGCATACATGTTGTATTTATAGTTCATCGTGATTTTTCTTTTTCCCACTTCTTTTTCAGATTCAGGATTTCCAGAAGTACAGGAGTTCAAAAAAAGGAGATTGGCATATGAAAGAGTCCCTGGAAGAAGAGACGGACAAACACGCCTTAAATTCTTTTGAATGGAATGGGGATTTCCATACATTTTTTTTAAAATTCTTGAACTCTTTGAAGAGAAATAATTTATTTTTTGTTGTTGTTAGCTTTTAGAAAGAAATTAGGATTTGAGATTCTTACTAGCTCAGGATTCTTCTGTATGTTTTTAAAATGTTATTAAACAAACTAGTTTCTTGATGCTGGAGAATTACTGTTTCTCTGTTGTCATGGGTGATATAAAGGTATTTTATCAGTCTTTGTATTAAAAAAGAATGAATGGGAAAAAAACAGACATTGAGGCTCACTGTGTTTTCAAAATGCCTGTGTTTGCTCCCTGAGCACACAGCTTTTCCAACATAAGATGGGCTAGATCTGCCAGAATCTCAAGGCTTCTCAAAGTCTTAGAGATTTCCTGCAGCTACAGCTGTGTTACTCTTTGTTGCTGTCCCTTGGGCTGCGTTCCAATTCTCTTCTTCTGACATCTTCTTTAGGCACCATGTGATAAGTTCCTGAGCTGTTTTTAGTCATATCAGTCTAGAAAAAAAGCTTTGTTTTAGGGACAACATGTGAAAACTGTGTTGAAATTTAGCATTCTCACAGATTTGATTCAGGGAACTAAGATGTGACCTTTACTCTCTGCATAACCTGGTGGAGGCCATTTGTTGGCATACACATTTTTCAGCCTTCTTCAGTGCATTGGCAAATAGGGGGATGAGAGTCATCTGGGAGGCAGTTCCAGATATTATAGGGGACAACTAGGAGTGGTAAAAGATTGAATTTAAAAAAAGAAAGGTATCTTAATTGTAATCTAAAGAACAAGATAGAATAGTATCCAAACCCTCACTTTCCATCAAAAGATTTGGCAGCAAAATCAGAAATATGTGTGGAAAGCAATGGTAGACAGTAACTCCATTCTGCTTCAGGAGTGTATAAATGGTTTGCACAGGCATGCCTGCCAGCTCCAGAATGTCTCTCTGTTCAGTGGCCTTCAGCTGAGATGATTCAAATTTCAAACTCACAAACTTTTTAAGTTTGATGCAGTAACAGAAAGGATGGGGAGGATGGGGCCAGGAGGCAGCTAATAAAAGAAAAACCACCAAGTTTAAATGTTATGCTTGCACTTAAATACTTATTTGGCATTAAGCCTTCATTAAGCACACTTTCACTATTTGGGTAAATGAAACCAGCACTTAGTGGAGAGAGATTTCATCCCTCAGAGAGAACAGAGTGCTGATTTTAACAGAATTCTTAAAAGCTATGATGACAGCACTAATTGCAATTTTAGTTCACAATAATATCCCCAAATTATTTGTACCCCAATTGTTTGCAAGATTTGAGGGAATACCTTTCACAAGTGACAACATAAGAAGATTTCTAGTAAAACTGCAAACAAGGCACTGTTTTCTAGAATCAGAGAAAGACTTAAATAAAAATTGCAATTTGTCTCTTATGTATGGCCCATTTTTGTGGTGACCTAACCTAACCATTTTCCTTCTTTTGCATCATGGGTTATGTTGTTACTCCTCCTAAATTTCCAGAACTAGGAATCTGTTTTTTTTGAAGAACAGCTCTATATAGTCTGTCACAGATGACCGCAGTTTGAGAAAATTATAGCTGCCAGTGCCAAGCTATGTATTTGTCCTCTTTTCCACACGCAAAGGCTGACACCAGAACTTTCAAATTAACAGATGAGAAAAAGTGGCATAGATAATCTGTAGATAACTTTGAAAACAAAGGCATATTGTCTACTTTAAAAATATTCAAGTGCTATCTGCGTTAGATTTCCATTAGGCAGACAAAATGTCAGTGTGCAGTTAAATTATTGGCAATGTAGTGGCAAATAAGGAAAAGGTCTTGCAATGACCAATTGGTTTTTACTGTATTTATGACAAATCTCAATCCAGATAKGGACACATTTACAAAATACTACGTTCTTCTCCCTTCTTTTGTCTGTTTAATGTGGAGTGAAATTACTACAGCACTACAATGATGCACTTCCCCTCTCCACCCCTGGCCCAGCCAAATTACCTATAATTATGAATTCGGAAGCAACTAATTCTTAGACAAAAAGATGTAATACAAAAACTGATCTCCAGTCCTACATCAGCAGGTAGTGACACTCCATTCCTGAAACAAGTTTGTAAACTTTTTAGTAACCAGGCAGGAAGCAACTGTAGATGGAGAAGAGACTTGCTGATTGGGTGGGAGGGATGACAGAAAAGAGGCTCTTGAAGCTCCTGTGAGGCACTGATCATACAAATGTGTGCACTCACTCAATCTTCTTTAGTGTGGGCATCTTGTAGACCTGCTGCCATCAGATGATGTGAAGGCCTCTGTGCAGTAAGCAGCCCTCTGGGACAGTCTTTGGTAAAGGAAGCCAAGGTGCTGCCCACAGTTGTCCACCACATTGCACATCACACCTGTTGGAGCTGTAGATAAGACATTGCCCAGCAGACTGGGTAGGTAAGAGACATGCTCTGACTGCAGAAACAGACAGTGACCCAAGCTCATTTGTCAGATTATTTTATTAGGCCAAGCAAAGGGGTCCTGCAAAAGCTAAGCTGCTAAGATGCAGCCATTTTTACCCAGCCAACACAAAATAACTAGCAAGGGCATGCTTTACCAAACTGATTCCCAACAGGAAACCAAAGAACCTCAATGCCAACTAATCCTGTTTTGCAGCTTGTTCTCACACTTGACTTCTGTCACAGAACATGCCTTGGGACAGCAGAGGTGGGATTGCTGTCACTCCTCTCCCTGCTTCTACCCATTAGTTCAGTTGCACACTGCCCTGAGAGCAAAGAGGTGCAGCAACCATACTCCTCCAAAGAGGATGGATTCTGCATCTGAGTAATAACCATCACACACAGAGGGACAGACATCTGGATGGAGTGTTCCCAATCCATCTCTGCTGCACAGGTCTTTCTAGCCCTTGCTGGCGCAAGACACTGATGCAGCCAGGACCTTCTGTGTGCTCACAGTGCTATTCTTCCAACTGTGTTGACTTAGTGCTCCAGCTGCAAGAGACCAGATGGAGCTGGGCAGGGCAGCCAAGAGACAACAGTGGTTAGCTGACTGTCTAGCAGTGGCAGCTCTCTGCTGCACACTGTGATTTGGCCACTCCTTATGCCAGCTCAGCAGCCACTTCAAAACCCAAGCTCCAGCTGAGAYTGCTAAACTGGACAATGTAGGCCACAGGGGGTTTGAGGCAAGAAACAGACTCATCGCAAGAGATGAAAGAATTATGAAGGGTTTGCTGTCCACATGCTGGCTCTCCAAAGGCTTTTGATGTACACTGATGACACTCATCAGCATCTTTGACATTCTGGCCTCAAACMAAGCCTCTGATGGCCTCTGTGCAAGAGTAACTCAGCTTTCTCTGACTTCCATATCTGTGTTGAGTACTAACAGAAAAGCTGCCATAATCAAATAGCATACAATGAAAGGAATCAGAGTGAAGAAAAGCTCTGAAGGTGTTCTCYTCTGCATTTAAAGGCACAATGTATACTGGCAGTCTTACAGCTTTCACATCGGTGTCTTTCTGCAGGACAGCAAGCAGGAAAATCTTTTGACAAAGACTGAACTGCCTGGAGGACACCGTTGTCCATTTCAGTTAACATTCATGAACACTCAGAATGAAGAGTTCTTCCTTACAGCTTCAAAATGTCTAAGTGAGCCCAATAACATTGTTAGTATTTACAAATTTGGTCAATAGTTATGAATGGAATTTTCCTACTAATAAGACACAGTTTCTAAAAATCCAACAGCAACCTTATCTTCCCAAAAATCAAAGAGTTTGAGGCCTCCACTCCCACTGCAAAATCTAAGTATCCTCTTCTGCACTATTTTTGGTAGTGCTACTCTTTGTTAAAATTACACAATGAATACAAAGCCAAGAGGGATAGGAATTTTATTTCCAAACTTCTAAAAGATTAGTACAAACAATAGAAAGTAGACAAAAAAATTAAAAAACTATAAAAAAAGTTAGTTGTTCTTGCAAAAGTGCTTTAAAAAAGTGAAGGCAAATTGACCRAGCACATTTTAGTAAGTTCTGTGTATCGCAAACCTTGACAGTGATGCATGCAACTATCTTTGGGTGTTCACAGATCCTTAGTGTCTGTTTGGTAACATTTTAAATACATCAAGAAAATTCCACCACAACAGTACGGTTACTAATACAAATTAGAAGGCTTACAGATTAGAATCATTGCAAGAAACAWGCTTTAGGAATCAAGCCTCTTCTACAAGTTGTGTTCAAGAGTTCATAAAATGTGTCATTTATGCACTGAGATGCACTTGAAAAAAAACTAAAGTTGGTTCCAGGTCTTGCTAATGGAAGCAAAATGCTCCCTGAGGGCATTACTTCAGCACTAACAGCATTTAGCTTTATACTTTAATTATTCACTTTTGGATTATTTTGGAAAAAAAATCCCCATGAATAGTTTTTGCTATTATTCTCGTGTTACAGTTTCTCAAGATTAAAGTAAGTAATTTGGTAAAAAATCATGGTTTTCATTTCTAAAATGTAAACTTCTCAAGTAATATTTGTAGAGTTGGCATAGTATAGTAACAGTGGTGATGATTATGAAAAGAACAAGAGTTACATCAAAAAACTTCAAGTACATTACTAAAATATAGTGAAATACGAATTAACAAGAATACACAGACAAATATCTAGGACACTGTTTTAGCCACATAAAAGACAGAGAGAGACTTTTCTTGTGAAGGAAAGGCAGTTGTTATTCATGTCATGCTTGAAGGCAATTCTCCAGTGACCTTCCCTATAAGAGGAAGAAAAAAAGGTTTATTAAATTCCATCTTCTTAAACTGATACATTTCTCTTATGAATTACAATGGAAAAGCTCCTTTGCACTGAGAAAAACTGAATAATGACTTTCTTTTGCTGCATGTTGGTATCGTTGCAATACCATAAATTCTTTAACTGGCTTTTTTACTTTGGTCTGACTTGTTATGATCCTAAGGTAACAGAAGAATAATAAACTAAATATTAGATCTAGCAGCAAAAAWATTACCAAAGGACATCCTGTGCTGAGCTCTGCATTTCTAAAAGGATCATCATAAATAAATCAGCATGCTCTTCTGAAAAATTATTTTGTAATGTATCTGTATGATGTGATAACCCCGAAACATGTAGACATACACACACACAGACCCATTCCCCCCCAAAAAAAAGGTGGAAAGCCTGCTTAAATAACAGAAGAACACATGCAACAGTCATTGAAAAAGTTATCTTATTTGCATGACAAATTAAGAGTAGCACCCAAATTAAGAATATCTGCTTTTGCTGCTCCCTCACCAAGTTTTTCCAGATGAGCATCTCATGTTAGTTCCTCCCTTTCTTTAGGTTCACTTCCATTTTTTTAAACCTATGTAGCAACAATCAAAGTCATGCTATTGATCAGGCAAAAGCTCAAATGCAAGCTCAGGAATAGTTGGCAGCAGCAAGGGGAARATTTTATGAGTACTTTATGTTCTAGCTTAAAATCTGCCCTTAGAGAAAACATTCATTTTTTCTTTAACAGCACTCTCAATGAAAGAACAGATTTCACTGTTTCTTCCATTCTCTGTAGATTTTTCAGGTCTTTAGTGGGAAATATTTTTATTTTTTCTTTCAAGGAGGAGTAACCCTTTCTGAGTATCTTCCAGATTTGCAAAAGAAGTAGATTGTCCAAGTTATGGTGTGGTTCTCCCCTAGACTACCAGCATCATGGCCTTTCTTTCTCCTGCTGCAATCACTGAAAACCTTTGTGACAAATGGGAGAAGCCAGACTAGGAATCATGGGATTGGATCCTGAAGATTTGCACATGTTGAACAGCCACACATCCGCCTACTCTGTTGGTGTTACACAGGTACAGGCAATGCAGAGCACTAAGGCAGAGTTCAGGGAGCAGCYCATGATTTAGACCTCTGCTGGAAAAGGTTATGAAGGATGCGATTACAAATTGCCTCAGCCCCTCTCTGCTTCCACTACTTTCAGTGTTGTACCAACAGTAAGGACAGGAAGAGCCTAAGGACAGACATAGTCAAAYGAACATTGACATTAAAGACCAAAATGTATTTTAACATGACTTTTTTCTTAAGCTGTGAGCCAATCAGAATACATAAAACTGCCATAGCTTTGTGTTACTTCTTCAGGCTGGGTACATGACTGTTTTCTGTCTGGCTATGACTTAGACAATTTTTATCAGTTTGGGATGCTGCTAATGACCTTA